TTTTCACTTAGACTTTTCTCCCCCCAGGGATATTTCATTTTTGCCTGCATTTCCACCCCTTCATTCACAACCATTCCAATTCAATTTCCTCTCGGAGCAGGAAAACTTAGAGTGATGAATTGCATTCCCAGCCTCATTGGCAGCTGGTTCTGCTTCTATTTCAATTCTGGCTTTAAGTCTATTGAACTTTGACTTCGGTCAATGACAATGTTGTTGCCTTTACTTCGATTTTACAAACGATCATAATGATTCTCATGATGATGATGCTAAGAATGGTATGGCCAGCATCTCCGGTTCGCAGTGTAAGTGCAGATAAATTATTTTTTGAGCGGCAGGCAAGGGAAATACTTTACATTCGGGGCGGACAGGGCTCGAAAGGGGCGTGGTCGGGGGGAGGGCATGGGTGCCTACAGTTCGAACTCCTTTGCATGCCATCCAGATATATGTACATGCCATATATACCCATTCGAATCGCCCGACAAGCTCGTGAATATTTTCTGCTTGTCGTTGTCTGGGCCCTGTTTGCTTGTTGGTTGTTTGTTGGCCATGTTCGGTCCTGCCTTTGGTTGATCATACTCTGTTCTGGCCCCTCCCGCTCCCATTGCTTTTGCAGCCATTGTTGTTTGCATATTTGCATTAAAAACGGCAAACACTTTTAACCAAACACATGTAAAGTGGTGTTGTCTCTCTGCCTCTTTCAATGTGTCGCCTGTCGACAAATATAACCGAACATAAATCATCCGTAGCAGTCGCATAAATAATAAATACACACTCCCCTGCCCTCTAAAGAATGTGTGTGGGCCTTCATTGGATGTGTGTAAATTCTTTTTGCATTATGGTCTTACAAATTCTGTTGATTTTCGCATTTAATTTTATTTATGGGATACTTTAGAAGGCGGTATAACGTACATAGGTTTATTTTTAGAAAATACAACAAGTTTTACTTAAATACGTGGATTCAATAACAAATATTTCTATATTTAATATTTTAGAACACACAATTTCCACTTAATTATTAAATTTCCTATTGTTTTTCCACAAAAACCCCTTACCTAAAAAAATAAAGTTCTTGAAACGTCACTAAATTCCCGTCACATGCAAAAGACACAAGTTGAAAACACTTATCCCCTATCCCTTTAATAATGTTCGCAGTTTGTCATCAACTTTTCGCGGTTAGCTGGGAGTCCGAAAAAGAAAAACAGATAAATAGAACTGAAAATCCACTTGTACAAATATTAATTTTCCAGCATTGCGAAACTGTCGCCAGTTTTCGCCAACTCCAAAACAACAGAAAAAATATAGCCGCCAAGAAAAAGTCTGGTCGTAACATGGCTAAGAACACTCAGCACATAATTCTTTTTGCAAGCCGCAAAATAAAAACCGGCCCGGCGAAAATTCGTGACGCTGGGAAAGAGAGTCGGGCTGGGAAATAAGGAGAAAAAGAAACAATTTCCACTTTTTGCCAAGCGAATTCATAATTCATTGAGCCAGCTGTGTGAGGGGGAAGTGGCGAGTGGCGACCACACCAAGGGTTGGCTATCATTTACACCATGCAGTTTGCCCATTTCCATCTCTAGCCGCCGAATCCCCACCCCCCTTCCCTACTCTCGTTCATCATGCAAAAAGCGTTTTTTGCTCTGTGCGCTGAAAATTAATTTGCTCACGCGCCAAACGGAAAAGTCTCTGGAGTCCGAAAAAATGGTTTCATCTGCAATGCGACGCCAACAGTTGCCATTTTGCTCCCATCCCCTCCTCCTCCTCTTCGACCAGGACTCGTGTCCTGAGCTGGTCGTTCATTTTATGCGACGACCATCGCATAAATTTCACAAAATTCCATACATCAATACGACTGGCTGGTTGGCTGGCTGGCTGGTTGGGTAAATGCGAGAAAATGGCACAAAATTTCTGCGGTCTACCACTTCAGCTGATTAGACGACCGCAAAACTCTTCGAATATTTTACAGCGATTGCAATAAAAGCGATACCTTGCCACCGTTTGTCCACGGTTCGTATGCGCAATATTTGCCACTGGGCAAGCAGCCAAGAAATAAAATGCCGCCTGTCTTTCGAGGCCTGGCTTTCCACTTCCACCTGCACCTGTGCGATCGCACAACTAAATATTTGAGTGGCACCGCCGTTGTTGCTGTGTGGCCCCCAGCCAAGTGACCCATAAAATGCCACCACAGCTCGCCGCCAACTGTTGCAACTGCTGCAACTCCGCTCCGCCGCAAGCAGCTGTCCCCTGTCTTCCGCGTCATCGCTTTATGCACGCCATTTCGGCGACGACGCCTGCCTTCCGGACAGGTTCAATTGCAGTTTAAACGCTGTTTTGAGTGCTCGCTGCGGGATTTTTTGCGAAAAGATTCTTTCAGTCGGCGGAAAGTAGTTTGCTCGAAATGGTATTGTCACTCCAAGGCCATTGTGAGAAATTATTTTTAATAAGTAACTACTTTTGCCACATTTACAAATGTAAAAATATTTTATACAAATATGAATTTGTATTTGTTTAAAATAAACATAAATTTCTCTCCACATTACAAACTACTTATTTCGAGTATTTAAATACTAGTAAATTTCCAACGAAATCAAAATCATATTATGCCGCCTAATTGGAATTTGTTTATTAAAATGTAGTACAATACAAAAAGAATTATGAGGTCCTCATCTGAGTTGAATTGGCGGTATTTACAATGTATTTATCTCAACCACTAAACGATTAACCATTAGTAGTGAATATTTATTAAAAAGCTGCTTAAAAAACTTGATTAATATTTTCACTTTGAAACCATTTAACTCAAAATAAGAACATTTATGCCTGCAGAGTTTTTAAGAACAAATTTCGTTCGACCTCATCAATTAGTAATCAATTTTACTATCCATCAGATAGTCAAACCAAAAAGACTTCCTATTATTGCAATTTAACATTGTTTTGAAGATCAAATATTGTGCAAGCAAATATTTAGAGCTGGCAATCAGAGTGTTGTGATGTTTTCCGTGTCGCTGACAGCCTTTTAGATGCAAAAACAATATTTCCTCTTACATGTCAGAGCAGAAAAGCTCCCTCGCTTCGCAGTGAGCAGGCGAAAAACTATTTCCATTTCTTTCAATTCAAATTCCACTGACAGTTGCAAAACTGAACTTTGACAGGCGAGCAAACTAGTCGGGGTGAATGGAATATATGAAGGGGACGAGACATTGTTTGTTGACATTTCTATTCTGTGCATTTATTGTTTTCCTGCCAAAAACGGTTGGCATTTCAAAAGAATAAAAAACCAAATTCAATTGACATTCGGACTGCTTTCAGCCCCGAGAACGGGCTTCCAGCACTCGGCTTATGCCAGAATTCTAGCCAAAGTAATTGCGTGGTCCCCAGTTTGATTGTCGTTTTCTTATTCAAAAACTTTTGGGATGCAAACTCAAGGAAATGTAACAAGTTGTGGCATAAATATGCATAAGCTCCATGGTCCGTTCGCTCCCAGCAAATCCCGCTCTGATCTGCCCGAGTCCTGGCTAACAGGACATGCCATAAATGTCCCGCACATGTCCATCAACGTCAGGAATGGTAAGTTCTCCATTCCCATTTGGCCCCAACCCAGACCAACCAAAGGCTTTCCGTTGTGGCATTTGCATTTTGCATCCTGCAGCTGCTTCAATTCCTGCTCGGCCATTTGCCAGGATACTCGCCAGGACCCTTGTGCTTATCGTTTTGCATACGCATTATTTATTGAGGCTGCCACTGAGTGTGGGCCATGAGTCCTGCGGGAAGGGAATCACTGCAACTTACTCGGACTTGGCATTAAGTAGGCCTTTCGGCCATCCAGGATCTTCGGCCACATCCTGTCCTACTGGCCGGCAGCTGCGCAAATTCCTGGGAGTGATTAGCATGCAAAATGTTTCGGGTTTATTGTTTTAGCAAAACTAATTAGTTTGAGTAATTGAAACTCGAATTCGGACCATTTCGTAGAGAAATGTTGGTAGTGGTGCCAGCAGTCGACGGATTAGCAACAAAAAAGCTAAAAATAACATTAAACCATTTCTGTGATGCATGCCGTGAAGGGATTTGCAATTTTGGTTTGTTTTAATAAAGTTTTCAACTGAAATGGACACTAACATGGAAATTCACCAATCAAACAAGATATGGTGACAGTTTAAATACATTATTGTATTTAAATGCATTCGTCGTCTTTAATTGACGGTATGGATTTTTTTAGGATACTAGAAGGGAATTGGAAGGATTGCTATCATTGCTAATTGTTTGTACAAATAAAGTTTGGGCATAAAATGGAAAACAAAATGGACATTTACCATTTCATTTTTATACTTTTTAAAAAAGTATTCACTTTAAATCCAATTGGCGTCTTTGATAGAAATTGATATGGATATTTACCGGCTCTCAATTCACCCAGAGAATATGAATTTTTTCACATTTTTTGTCTGTTAGATTTTACGATTTGTTGTACACTATTTTTTCCATTTAAATAAAATGAATTGAGGTCTTGTTTGTATCCAAAGGAAAGAAGTTTAAAAAATCTGATTTTTATGCTATAACTCTTTCCTTTTCCTGTCTTAGCTTTGCTCTGACCGGAAAAAGGACAAAATCGCAGCGCTGTCTGTTTGCTTTCCATCAAAATTTGTGCATGTCGTAGTTTCCTTTGTGGTCAACTGCAAAGTCATAGGTTATTGCCTGAGGTTACTAGATGGTTCAAGGAGTAGGAATCTGAGAAGCATGAAATAGACAAATTCAAATGGCACCGCAGGGTGAATTCAAATTGCAACAAGGTTGCTTGGCTAATGACGATTGAATTCAGATTTCCCTTTATATTACTATTGCAAATGAATGTGTATTTAATGTAATGCTGGATTAGACGAAATTAAAGTGCAACAGTACGCTGCTCAAGAGTACTTTTGCTCATTGCATTTAAATGTAATTGCTTACATAAAACTACATTTAAACTTACCGATTTTATTTTAATAAATATGAATTTCTTTTTTCCTTTACAGCCGCCACTTTTGAATATATAGACAAGGAAGAGGTCAAGAAAATCAATAGAAACCAAATGCTACAAAGCACTGCCATATACAACTGCAACGGATTGCATTAGGACAACTAACGATTGAATAGCTCTACATATATACCAAAATAATACGAATAATTACTACAAAATTAAAATTAAACCAAGACCACAAGAACAAATGAGAGAGAAAAGGAAGGCACCGAAAATTATAAGCTTGCAAAATGGTTTGATATTGCAAAAGCCATCTGTCTCTTTTCTTCTCTCCAAATGAAAGAAGCCCCACAATGAAAAAGGAAGTCAAAGTATAAACTTTTATTGTAAGGAAACGCATAAAAATAATAGGAACACGCTCTTCGGGTTGTAAAGAAAATAAGAAGACAAAAGAAAGACATAATAATGTTGCAAACAATAAAACATATACTTGCCATATTGATATAAAAAGGAGGACGTGAAAGGGCGGTGAGAATTTCATAAGATTAGTAGCTATTAAGAAGGGGACAATGTAAGCTGCAGCAGCTGGATAAGGCCGACGAAAACCCGAATATTAAATTATTGTAATCTAGTAGAGAGCAGACAACATATCCGCTGGCAACAACCAACACCGAAAGAGACTATGAAAAATGCACAACTGAAACTGACTGAAGTTGACGATGATGAGCTGTGGCTGGCAGTAAGATTAGCGCACTGCAGCAGCAGCAGCAACAGCGGCAGCGGCAGCAACAAGAGGCAACACCAGCAACTCAACCAACTGCAACCAAGGAGCTTAAGTACAAAACACCACAGCATCATTGCCAGCGAGCAGCACAATAGCCAAGAACAGAAGCCATCACCAAGAGCGGAAGATGTAGTCACTTACACAGGCAGCAATGACCAGCAGCAGCAGCAGCAGCAGCTAGACAGCAACATGTTGTCGCCCTTTCGCTTCACAGCCGCAGCAATTGCTGCCGGCGATCAAGCAACAACCCAACAACCAACAAACATAAGACTGTGTGCACGCAAGCGACAAAGGTTGCGTCGCCGACGAAAAAGAAAACCAGCAACCCCTAAGGAGGCAGCAGCAACAGCAGCAACAGCAACAGCAGCAGCAACAACTAGCAATAGCAACACGAGCACCAGCACAAGCAACATCAATCTGCATCCAACTGCCACCTACATGCAATGTCACACCAGCATTCCGATATCGCGATCGAGTCACGACCTCTCATGGGTGTTGCAGGTGCTGCAGGTGTTGCTGGTGCACCTGCAACAGTGGCAGCTTCGCGTGCTCAAGGGGATCGCGATCAGCAGCACCGCCTTCATTTCCTATTTGGGCAGCTTTGCGGCGCAACTGAGGAGCAGCAGCAGCAGTCACAGCCAACACAGCAGCAGCAGCAGCACGCAAATAATCAACGGACTTAATAAACACTCATGGATATTTTTATTGATATATTTGAATTTATCTGCTAAAGGTGAGTGCCATTCAATTTATCTCGAGTGCCGCATGCAACATCAGTTGGAGCAACAGTTGCTGTGGCAGCAGCAACAGCAGCAGCAACATAATGCACGCCGGCAACATATTGTCACTTTGACACATAAAACCACTCAAGGGTTGGTTTTTTTGAGGGTTGGGCTGTGGCCCTTGTTGATGTCATTGTTGTTTGCCAGTTGTGACATTTACGACAGCCTCAAGTGAGGCAACAACAGCAGCCATCTCAGACCGGTCTATGCCACTTGAAAGCGTCTGCGCCTAAGGTTATTTTCTTTCTTTTCCTCCGTCGCCCCCACTCGAGAAGTCCTTGGTCCTTGTTCGTGGCTGGCCGCAGTGGAGGCCCTTCAAAGAGCATGTTGCATAAACGCCCTCTTGGCTCAGATGCACCACCTGAACGGGGGGCCCATTGAAGGATAGACCATTTAATGAAGATAATTGAAAAGTTTTCACTCTCTAGTTTTAATTGGTACTTCCACTTTTCCCCCTAAAAACTCAAAACGGTTATGTCGCCGTTGTATCACTTTGAATGCCCCTCGGGGAGCGGAATTTATTGGTTAATTAAACTAAATTCCCTGCCTCAGTTGGCCCACATTCTCGGGCATAAAAACTATTTGCCAAAAACTAAGCAAAGTCATGTCGAACAATGTGTGCGGCTGGTGCTGTGCCGAAAAGTTGCAATGCCATAAATACTTTCGACAAGCATTTGCTGCACAGAAATTTCCCATCTCAAGTGGTTGCGGCAACGAGGGGTTAGAAAATCTTTTTTAATGGCTTATTTTTTGTCCTGTCGCTGCACTGCACTAAAAGCTTAAAAATTCTTTGTCACGGCAACAATATTTCCAAACGAGACAAGGAACGAGGACGAAGTTTGGTTTGAAGCTCAAATGCCTGCCATTCCATTAGCAAGAAGAGGAGAAAAAAAACCCACCTGAAGATGGTGGCTTGACTGCCACTTACACATATTGGGGTTATTAATGGCTGCCCATGTGGGCCAGAGGAGCAAAAAGCACAAGATGGAAAGTGTTGGCAATGTTTCAGTCGCATTCGCGTGTCGCGGTTAGCATGCCAGCCAAAAGAGGCGTAAATAAGTACACACGATGTACGGTGGTGTCAGTGGTTAGAAGGCCAGCATAGAATTGATTTTTTATTAGTTTTAGTAACCAAACAGATTCCCGATTTAATTGAAAAAACGTTGTGAGTAGTACTTGCATGTAAATAATTATGGTCGGTAAATTAAAATATAATTGTGTTTTATATAATTTAGATACATTGAAAGAAAAGCTTGGTTTCGGTACATTAATGTCCCACACGTCTTTAATAATATTTAATTTTCCAAATCCGTTACTCAGCTTTAAGTAGCGCGAGAGAGATGGTGATATGCAAGAAAAAAGGCTGCTCATAACTTCTTAATGAATGGAAAGATTTGAAAAATTGTTTCTATATTTCGGAAGGTATTTATAAGCAGAACAAAATTGATTTCTACTTTTTCGGGTCTAACAGTAATACACATTTTTTAACTGCCTTCGAACCACTGTCCATTTGCTGTATTCATAAATTTCAAGCCATGTGTGTACGCTGGGCCAATTTCTGTGTCTGCAGTCGAAGTCGTTTATTCCCTTTTCGTTTTTTGTGTCTGTCCTGTCGCTTCGGCTTTGAGTTCATGTTTCATGCAACACCAGCGGCAGCAGCAGCAGCAACAGCAGTTTCAACAACAATTGCCGTCTGTCCATATGCGTGTGCATGTTTATGATTTTATGGCAGCACTTCCGTTTCCGCCCGGCCATATTGTACCGCACTTCTCCCCACCCTCCGCTCCGCCTTTCGCCTGCCTGCCATCGCTAATCAGATTTAAACTTTGCACAACGTCAACGTTGCTTACACCAGCTGTAAGCTGTGAGTGTGTGTGCGGCCGTTACTCGCTATACGTATTACGTACTGTATTCACGAGTGTGTCGAGTATGCGCTTGCCCTATGACATCGTTCATACGCCCCGTTGGCCGGCCAAGTGCCCTTTCTACTTTTCCCTGGTCATGTCCTGTAAGTATGACATTTATTGCTACCGAAAGGCTTTTGGCATGCTTCAAGTCTTCAAGACTTCAAGCCTCTTCGCATTTGACAGCCCCCCGTTGTTCTAGTTCTTGTCTTTTGCCCTCAAAATGAGATGATGGAATTAATTTGAATTTGAGCGAACAGCAAGGGGGTAGCCTCCCTTATGAATATTAAATTCAATTAACTCTTTTAAATTTCCTATTGATAATAAAATAGTACAGCCATCTCCTTATCTGTTGTGCTTCAAACTTAGATACACCCACATCCACATGCATTATTCAGGCATTTTCGCAAAATGTCAACTCCCTCTCGGTTCTATCAATCTATACGATAAATGTCACAAGTTCCCTTCCATCATTAGCTAAAGGGTTGTACAAGAAAGAAAAACACAATGTCATGCCTGCCATTTGCATTATGGAGCCCATCCAGGCTCAGAGCCTCGCACACATGCGGCTGAGACAGATGATGGGCCCATCAGCCAAGCACAAATACTCCCCGGCCCCATCTCTCCATCCAGCTTTACAAAGGATCAGAAGTGAAGCAGAGGGAAAGAGACTCAGAAATGTGGGCTGGACCAAAATCAATCATTAAATGTGATGGCATTCATAATTTTCAATAGTGGACACAAGGCATTTTGATTGATGGCCCTGCCAGGGAATTCCCGGGAAAACCAGTCACTTCTTCCAGTGGGAAAAAGTAGCAAAGTGGTATAGTGTATTTATCTCAAGATATAATACTTTTTACTTTTGGAATAAAAGATCCTATTAAAATTAAATTCTAATTTTTTAACCGATAACTTCCGTAAATTTCTCAGTTTTATTCGCTAAAAGAAATACAATATTTTTGTAACCCTCTGATTCCCCCCTAAAGCCATCTATCGATTTGTTTCCATTTTTAAGGCTACTCTTGTCCCAGGTTACTCCGTCTATCCGCCCCATCCGTGCCCCTAAAAAAAGAAACAGGAAAAAGGAAAACAAGAAAGTCATAAGCAATTAAATGCTTTCCCAGCTCCCAAGCCCCATCCAATTAAGGGCAACTGTATGTGTGAGTGTGGGAGGTGGATTGAGAGGGATTCCGAAGGGGCGGGTTAGTGCTGGAATTTTTATTGCATAAATTAAGCTTTGAATGGTTAAGCGTCACCTTGGCGCTATTAAAATGCTCGCTTCCGAGCTCTCTCTCGTTCTCACTCTCTCTGTGTCTCCCTCTCTTGTTGCCCAAAGTCCTCTGCAAATCCTGGCCGCCCCTCCCCCTCCCCCGCAGCCATTAGCAGGTGGGCTGTCGTGGGACTGGCTGTACAGTGTTCACCCTTCTGAGCAGACAGCCATCAAGCTTCATCACTTTTGTCCCCCGTCTTGCCCGGTTTCTCCTCCCACACCATCTTGTATCGGTTTTGGGAGCTTAAGTGGTTTGGCGCCCCGTCAGTTTTCATTTTGCTTTCAATTTTTAATATCGGCGGACAGCGCGAGTCGAAATATTTCTGCCATCTCCTTGCTCTTCTCTGAGGTCCGTTGGCCAAGGAAAGGATAACGGATGATCCTTCTCCTTTAGGTTCTATGCAAAATGAATAAGGTTTTCAAAAAGTTTCGGTTTCACAAAAAAAATCTTACTTATTCTTTACTATTTTTAAAACATTTTTATTTTATTATTTATTAAGAATTTTAAACTAAGATTGTGGGCAAAATAATTTACCAATTTTGCTTCGTTTTACGATTAACAATTTTATTACTTTTTGAGTTCATAAAGAGAAAGCTCTAAAAAATTTTAAATAAATATAAATCAATATTTATTTTGTTTTGTGGTTTATAATTTTGAGTTTATAAAAATTGTTTTTTTGGCTTTTTCATGTTGCTAGCGTGAGATATATTATTTTGAAGAATATTAAAGAGCATTGGCTATCCGACAAGAACGACGACTTCAGCGAACTTCTTACTTTTTATTCCTGTTTTCATTTTTGGGGAGCATCGGCCAATTTGGTGTCGTTATTATTGGTGTTGTTGCGGCGTGTGTTTCGTAGGCAGCTGCATTTTCTAACCAATTTTGCTTGTTTTTTATTTTGCCCATTAAATTGGCCCGGTCGAGTGTGCCCCATTCCCGAAGTCCTTGCAACCCACGGTCCTTGCAGCTGTTGCCGCACTTCTTCCCTCTCTCTCTTTTTCTATCCAGCCATCCCTGTCTGGCCAACGACTTGGTTTGGCTTTGTGAAATAGCAATTACTTTTTCATGCTCCACTGCAATAAAATTGCAATTTTATGCGGCCTGCCAGCGGACAATAACAACAACAACAACAAAAAAGAAGAGAAAATAACGAAACGGAAGTGCAGCTATTGAAAAGGCATTTCGAAATGGCCGCAGCCTGTTGGGAAAATGGAGAGCGAGGAAGAAAGCCAAATTTAAAGATGACTTGACTTCGCTAAAAGTTAACGACTCAAAAATGGAAAGTTAATGACTCTTTATATGTCTGCCAGAGTTACTAATTACTTGTTTTTGCTTTCGTTTTAATATTAGTTTAAGAGTTTGTATGTTGATCTTTCCGTTTTTAATTGCCAATTTTTTTGTATTAGTACAAAAAATATTAATTTGATTTTCTACAACGTACTTATATTTTTAAAATTGTTTTTTTTCATATAAAATTTAAGTTTTCTTTTTGCTTTTTATCGCTTTTCTTGTTTATAGAAAAGATAATAAATACATCTAACTTAAGGCTATTTGGATGAATACTCCTAAAAAAAATTCACAAAAAGTAAACATTAATCTTTAATTAGGTTTCCTGCTTGCTTTTTGTACTCCAGTAATAATTCTCTGTCCCATGTTTAGTTTTTTCTTTTGGTTTTTTTCTGTTTATGATGGTTGGACAAAAAGGCAAATAAAAACAAAAGTCTCGACTCGTGATGTCGCAGTCAAAAGTCGGCAAAGTCGCCTTTGTGTCCGGTTACAATGGTTGGCCGATACTCAGAATCGCTGGCAGCCCCTCATATTTGTTTTATTATCACATTCATTTTGACACTTCATCAGACGTTGGCCTCTTTTTTTTTTGTTCAGCCGTTTTTGTCTTTTCCGAGCCCCTGCTGCGCCCCTGTTGCTTTGTTCTAGGCCCACTCCTCGGTTCCTCGGCTGGTGTCAATGCTTTGCCTTAAGGGCCTAACTAGGTGCCCTGTCCACCGACCCACCGACTCACCAACCCACCGACCGACCCACTCATTCACTCATTGTTGGCCTGGCCCGTGCTCGTTAGCTGCAGTTTTTCCTTCATCTGGCGTCTCTCTCGGCTTTTTTCTTGGCCCGCAGGCTCGTCATTTTGTTTTAATATTAAATGAACAAGGAAGAGAGCGCGCGTGAAAAGCGAATGAAATATGCAAAAACGTCGGAGAAAGTGGTCGGGGTCGGAGAAAGCCGGAGAAAGCTAGCTGGAACAGGACTAAAGACAAATTAAAACTAAAAAATTCATGTGCATAATTTCTAAACGCTGTTCATTTTGTATGCAAATCTTTTGGGTTAAGCGTGCTAAACTCGGTGAAAGCTGAAAGTTTTCTACCCCACAATAGATTCCAAACTTTGGCTGCACAAAAAAATATCAGAGAGATGCACACAAAAAGCACGCGGTGGAATAATTCGAGAATTTAATTACCGACCTCTTCGAATTTAGGGCAAACGCTGCATTGCACATCAATCTGGGATTAATTCAATTTTCAAGAACCTCATCAGTGGCAATTTTGCCAGATTATTTTTCCCTTTGCCACACGAACTGCATTCTCAATCGCTCAACTCGATAAATCCGCAACTTACCACTACTTACTGTCTGCTTATGGTGGTTCTAAAGGGAAAAAAAGGGATGGGGGTTGAAAAAACTGAGGAAAACTCTTAAGAAATTATCAAATTGAGAGGCAAAGAGCAGGCGAGCAACTTGGATCCCTCCTCCAACATCATCTAGTTTCTTTTGTAGTTTCTTCTGCTGCTGCCCACATTCATGCATAAATAATTCCACGATAACGATGCGAATATGTCTGTGGGTCTGTGTGTGTATATGTGTGGGAGAGGCAATCTATTATCGCTGGGGAAAAAACGTAACAAGAAAATTTGTATGTGAAAAACTTTTGCTCAATAAAAGTTTCCTTTTGTTATTCGCCTGCCAGAGAACAATGGTCTCGTCCCTACACACAAACACTCGGTTACTCAGTTTGCGACTGAGAAAGACATATGTGTGTTGGCTGAACGAAGAACAAAAACTTTTCCTCTGCCATCCTTTCGAACTCCTTTCCTCTGTTGCCTTTCCAATTCGACGCCAACTGCAAAAAGCCCGCATCCACACAGGTCCTGGAGCAACCCAAGTCCAAGGAGCGTGCAAAACCAACTTGCACAAACCAAAAACTCGTAAACTTTTGCATATCAATAAATTTTAGTTGTTGTCTTATTCCTTGCCACCAGCCAACAGAAACCATTCGCCGAATTATTGATGTTGATTTGCGGCGCTCCTACCATTCCACACGTAACCAAGTTTCCCATGCACTAATTCGCATTTTATCTACTTGCAGTTTGCCTAGCAGGATATCATGAAAAGAGACTGTTACATGATCTTTTGGATCCTTATAATACACTAGAACGTCCCGTTCTCAATGAATCGGACCCGTTACAATTAAGCTTTGGTTTAACATTAATGCAAATTATCGATGTGGTAAGTAGTAGAAGCATTTAATATTTTAGAATTATATAAAAGTTGATTTTAGATTTTAAAATTTCAAAATAGGTAATGGTAAAAGATTACTCGATGATGAAAACTCGCTGAAAAAAAATTCAAAGAATTTAGTTTAAGATCACGAAATTAAAAGCATTCCTTTAATTTCCCGTTTTAATTACGGCCAGTCCTGCGTCAGCAAGGAACTTTCGGTTTCACAACTTTTTTCCTCCTCGTCGTCCTTTGAAAAGGCGCCTTAAAGTAGGCAGCTGAAAAAAGAATCCCTGATGACACAATTTGGTGCTGGGTAAAAAGTGAATTGCCAAGAAAGTGAAATTTTAATTATTTGCCGGAGAGCAGCGCACACACATGTGTGTGTCCTGCTGCCTGTTGGCTGTTCCTTGAATGGCAGCCGCCTCCTCCTCCGCCTCCCCCGCACCCCTTGGCCTATTTGCAGACAGGACACACACATATCCTGGCTGACTGGCAGTGTCGAGCAAATTACATGCAACGTCATGTGGCATGTGCGCCGTTTGACTCATTTTCACCTTTCGAAAGGACGGGCGGACGGTCGTTCTGCATTCATCAGTTGCGAAAACTTTTCCCCAACTTACAATTGCGTATGGGGGTAAAAAGTCATGCAGGAGCATAGAGCATAGAACACAGAACATAGAACATAGAGAAAGAAGTGGCGAGCGAATAAGGTGGAAAACTGTCGGAAAAGGCGACGCGAGGCGTTTGCCTTTGTTAGTGAGACAACCTCAATTCATATTAGATTTGCATTGCATTTGTCCGTATGTGTGGCTTGTTTGTTTGGCCATCCCCCATCCCGCATCCCCCTTGACAGGTGCGAGGAGCCAGGAGCCAGGAGCAAGGAGCCAGGAGCCAGGATCTACGATCTAGCCTGGTGTCCCGCACAAAGTTGGGATTCAGCAAAATGGAGCGCACAAACAAAAGGCACTCACACATGAGGCATGAAAAGCAAAAACAGCAACGCAGAAAAGTTGCTGCTGGCATATATGGCAGAGGCTGAGGCTGAAGGGGAAAAAAATAAAAGCGAAAACGATTCCAGACGCTAGAAAACTGCGCATTCAGTGACGCGCTAAAAGTCGCACATACACAACAAATACACTCACACAAAGACAAACACGGAAAAAGCAATGCAAAGTACACTGAAAAAAGTCAACACTGAATGGGAGAATAAAAGGGGAACAACTGTCTTTTTCAATAAATTAAATCAAAAGAATTAAACGCTGAATTTCCATAAATTTTCGAGGTTCAAATAAATAAATATAATACTTTAGAGCACTTTATACAAAAAAACTAAAATTAATTTATTTTGCCCATAATTAAAGAATACAAATAGTGCTATTACAAATTAAATAATTAATGTTTAAGTGGAAAAATAAAATAATTTATAGAATACATTTTTTTAGCCACAATACTTTGATTCAACACGTTTACCTATTTTTGGGCCGTGCATTTACAATAAAATACAGCCGTACACACTTGGCATGCAAATAAAATGAATAAATAAAATTTGCACATGTGCTTTTCACACCTTGTGCCAAAACATATAAACCCGAGGGCTGGCGAGGGGGGTTTCAGGGGTTTTGGGGGCTCCTGGTGGGTGGTTGGGCCAAGCAATGAAGTGCGAGTTGCCGCTGGTGCAAAATGAAGTCGAAAGAACAGAACGAATGGGCACAATGCGCTGGCGGTCGTTGTTTGTTGCCGCTGTGGGTGGCAGTAAAAACTGCAGCACGCACACTCGAAACGCAGCGGGAACGGGCCGAAAAGCGAAGCCAGCTGAAAAACCAGCAGAAGCAGCAGAAAAGCGGCAATTACTGGGAAGCGGGGAAAACGAGGAGACTGCCGACTGAAAGCACCGCGCGTTGGGCATTAAAACCGAAATCGGGTCATTCGGGGTAAAATGAGCGAGAATGACGGCCGTTACCACCTTTGGATGCCAAACTAGGGTTTAGGGCAGCCCAGCGGTGTACTCAAACTTTTATGGCGCACTGTTAGTGGCCCGCTTAGATGTCACGGCAATCAAAAGTTGTTAATGCTCGAGCGGGAATCGTAATCGTAAGGAAATTAGTTGCATATGGCGCGATAATAAAGGATATTACTCTCCTGGCATTTGCGTTTATTGCAACAGAGTTGAAGAAAATTAACAATTACCAATTCGTTTTCATTTCTAATAGAATTTATTGTATAATTTAAAAAATATTTTTTTTCAAATGCCTTTTGTTCAATCAATCGAATCAAAAAGTGTGGAAAGTGGAAAGTCTGAAAAGTAGAGGATTTTTTTTGTGTGAAGTTAACGATTTTTCTGCCACTCGCAGGTCGGCAGGGCCATTAGTTGTCCTTTGAGGATACGCCAACGTTCGACGGTGGCCATATTTTAACTGTTACATGCAGTCCAGTTTCAGTTCCAGTTGCATTTGCATATTTTTTGCGTTTTTTCAACTGGGTCTCCAAGCAATTTAAAGATTAAGCACCTGGCCGGGATTTTGCCAGCACCAACGGCATATTTCAGTTTCCATTCCTCCGGAACAATGGAAAAATGGATACACTGAGGGCCCTTTGCCTTTCATCAATTTCACTTATCGGACAATGTCAACAGCTCCTTCGGCATCTCTTCAGAAAGTAAGCTTGCGGGGATTCCAAGGATTCTAATCACACGCCCATTCAAACAATGGCACTTCTCTGTGTAATATGGTTTTTATCCCCATTTGATTTATGTAAAGCACAGGTCATAATTGCTTTCCCCGGAGGTCGCCACCTGCCCTTAAAGAAGGGACAATGCCGTTCGCCTTCCTTTCTCACTTCCTGTTGGCAATTTTGCCGCTGGAAATTGCATTTTCTTCATTTTCAGTCATGGGTTTGTGTACTGTAAGTGTGCGGAAGAGCTTTCCCTTTGTTATGCGCCACGCCTGGCAACGAAATTAGAATGCCTTCGTGCCACACTTGCCGGCGGTTCTCCACTGCAAACGTTGGCCAGCAATCCTCAACAGGGCTTCCATCAACATAAGCAGGTTTCCCATGTGCATAGATGGTTATGGACATGCTTGGCATACTTTCGCAAATGCTTTCAATGCATTTTCGGCCGGGGTTTGGGTTTGGGTTTGGGCCAAAGGAGCGCTTCACTCACTTTCACTTTGATTGATGTTGTTGCCTGGTGAAATGGGCAAGTGACTGAGGCGGAGGATCGGGTGTGTGTCCTGTATGTCCTACCGTTCCCGTTTTTGTGTTCTCTGTGCAGATACGACTTTGTCAAATGAGCACAACGTCACAGGCACACATAAATAGATGTAAGGGTAATGGCTGGCAGGACGAGGATGGCTGTCCTGTCCACAGGATTGCTCAATGGCTTGTGGCTGGCAAAGTGTTTGGCCCGAATTGGGGCACCACTTTGACCCACTGCCAACGCAACGCTACTTTGGCTCCGTTTTTCAATTTAATTGTAATAAATTAAGGATTAAGGGCTTTTATTTAACTGTACAAACGTTGAAGAAAAAACTAAAATTTATCGGATATTTTTTCAAAATCAAAGGCTAGATTCTTTATTTAATTTTTAATAAAAGCAATATATGTACATGTTTTTTAAAGGAGAAAAGCGAACCCTGTGAAAGTACACACAATGTTCCAATTTAATTGCAATTTGCCAATAACCAAGGATCGCTCTTGTTACCGAAAATAAAATAAAAGCGCTGTTGAAATCAGTTCCAATTATTTTCCCAGCGGAAGAAATGAATATTGAAGTGTTTTTTAATTAAATGCGCCGAATGAAAGCAATCTCCGAAGTATATTGAGTGCTGAGTTCTCGTACTAAAGTAAATAGTGGAAACAATAATCGAAACCACTTTACAATTTAAAAGTGAAACAAAGAAAGAAATGAAACATTCAGTGGTAAACAGTGGGATTTCGCGAGTTTAACGAGTGTGGAATTTAAACCCTTCTTAATCGATATGGTTTTAATTAACAGCCATATAAATGGGAATGTCTTAACTACTAGCTACGTAATAGTTTTCGAACCTAATCCGCCGGAACGTAATCCTTTTTAAAGTAAGTCAAATGGGTAGCACGGCTGTGAGTAAGCCAATAAGCATTCCTTCGCCGTTCAGCACAATCAGCCAGCATGACAAATGGAAGGGGATTATTGAGAACTATGCTGAAAAAAGAGACCAAACGGAAAAAAGAAAGTGAAAAACAGGATACAAAAAGCAGTTGACTGAAGGGAGCGAGGAGGTGAAATTACAGGGCGGGGACGTCGGTGAAAGGCGGTGAAAGTACAAATAAAACAACTCCCAGGCGCATTAATTAAAAAGGAGCAGACAAAGCGGGGCGCAGATTAATTGGCATCAATGGGAGAAAGACAGTGGCGGTAAAGAGGGCTCAGATAAGGGCCAAGACGCGGGCCAAGGATGCGAAGAAGAAGAAGGAAGTGATTAAGTAGGCGCAGGACGAAGGAATGGGAATGCGAAAGCGAAGGGCTGGGGTGAATATCAACGGATATCAGCGGAAAATGAGTAATGAAGTCGAGATGGGCCAGCCATTTTTTATGCATACAGGACAATGAGAAACTAGGCCTGTGCTTGTATGTGTGCCTGTAAGTGAGTGTGTGTGAGTGTGCGTGGGGAACGAGCGCCGCGTTTTATGCTACACTTTCAGTCGGCTTCGAGTTGGCTTTCCATTTTCCTTTTTCTCTTTTTTTTTTTAAATTCCCCGAACGTTGTTGGCCCGCCATGTCAATGAACTGGCTCTGCGTGTGCATGTGGATTTTGTGCGAGAATATGTATTTGCGCCGCACATATGCAAATTTCCGCATACCGAAACTTGTCTTTGGCAAAAAGTGGGAGTGAGTGAGTGGGAAATAAAAACTCTTGGGCCGTAATAATTTTGCCGTTTGCTTTTTTGCTCATTTAAAATTCAACAACTGCCGCCCGCAGCCGCCATTTATTTATATATATGTTTTTCTTCGCAGGGCCCACACACTATTTAAATACGAATAAGCTTCATTTATACATGGGCTCTTCTTGTGCGGCTGCTGCTGCACTAAGAAACCCACACAAAAACAGCCGACAGGCTTCAAACACTCCTGCTTTTTCCTTTAAGGATGCATCAAAAGCATTTGAGGCCAGACAGCCAACGAGGCACAGTGCCACATTATTTAAAAACAAAAAACTCTTTGAGAATATTTAATTTAAATATTTTTAATTTGTTGAGAGGAAAATTTATATTTAAATGGGCTTGGCAAAGAAAAGTTTTTAAATTGTTTGCTATTGATGAAAACTGCCAAATTTCCTCACTCTTTTTTTAATAGTATTTTGTTTTAAATTTGTTCATTTCGGCTTTCCTTTTTTGTCTCAGTTTTTAATTACATTTTTTGTACGCTCTCACGTTTTGCGGTTGTTAGTTTTATAATTGTGTGCACCGCTTTTACTCCAAATGAACATGCGCATTCAAAATTTAAATTGGATGGGTGGAAAACAGGAGTTGCCCCGACAACTGCATTTAGAATATAAAGAAAATAAAACCAGAGAGGCAACGTCCTGTCAAAAGCCGCCAGTTGGTTGAGGTGAGCTGCTGCTGAAGTTGGGTAAATTAATAAAATTAAACCAGAAGCGGGTAGACAAAATCCTGGAAATATTAAGGATTTCTAGAGATATTCCACCACTAACTAAACGAGTTATGCGAGTGGCGTCAAACCAAAAACGCACTCAATGTGTAAGCCGACAAAATTATAGAGCGTCAACAGAAACTCAATTTGGAAAACGGAATTTTATTAGGTCGCTGTCGACCCGGTTTCCCGCCATCCCCTCCCTTTGCCAACCCCTTTCGTCCTCGCAAAAACCATGGCATACTTTTTAGCGTCAGGCATTTGTTTGTCTGCTGCGGTCGCAGTCACAAAGTGCACTGCAAAATATAAGTATGTAGTAAAGGGGCGAAGGGAGGATGTTTGCCAGTGAGCAAGGGAGATAGCTGGCTGGCCGAAATGGACTCTGCTGCAGTCAAGTGCAATAATGTAATGGCTATATTTAGCCAGGACTCTCGCACACAAACACACACAGGGACACGTTTCATGTTTGCCTTTGGACTGCGTTATGGCCGCAATATTACCGAGTCCTGCCACGTCGCTCCTTTACAACGTTATATTTGCCGCATGCTTCGATTCGGTGGGGTTCCAATCCCTCACCCAGCTCCTCCCCCGATCCGAAAAACATATTGGCAGCCTGCTGGTTTGGAACCGCCTGCGGGCCTTCGGTTTTTCGGCTCTCCGCTGGGGCGGGCGGCTCCATTTCATCTCCACCGCATTCCTGTCGCATATTTGAGCCCATTTTGTGATTGCACTTGCACACTGACTAACGGAAATTGCTCGGACAAAATATTCGAGCAACGCCAAGCACGGGCTCATCCCGAATCCTTCGCCCCCCTCTGATTCCGATTGCGATCCCGATCCCTTTGGTCCTTGGCTCTCGCTTTGTTAGTTAAGCACCCGAGATTTGCTTTTCGCCAGTTGTTTTCATTTTTTCACTGTGCTTTGGTCAAGGGTTTTTCCTTTTTTCCAGCTTTTTTGTTTTTTCCCGCCGCTGTTGCCCACCGAGTGAACCATGAATATTTCAGGCATTTAATTGTAAATTACACATACGCCCTGTGCGCAGCACTTGCATTTTTTAGGAGCAGCTGCCGCTGCGGCGGATTCGGTGTCTGGTTTTGCTGTGCAGCGCGGATTCGGTTATTGGGCCACATCCCCTGGGAGAGCAGGCTGGGCTGTATTTAAAAAATTCAACTATCTTGATTAAAGCTCGCGTACACTAAAAGCTGTTCATTTGATGGGGCCTTTTTTATAAAAATTATTGGTTATTATTACATAAGATGTTTTTAAGCCAAGAAAAAAATATAAAAAATGTTTAAATACTTTTTGCGAAGCTTGTAAGCTTTCATTTTACATTCGCGAAAAATTGCTATTAAAAACATTTTTTTTTACACAATTGCTGGTTTTAAGCTGTGTTTTGTAAAAATTCTTTTATATCGGGAAATTCTATTACATTTTTTTGGCCTGCTCCAACCGGACCTTGGATTAATTTTTTAATCTATTAAGCGAAATGAAAGGAATACAGCTTTTAGCTGGCTGTGCAAACAACTCGCTCCCGATTTATTCGCATTTTTCAATCGCCAGTTTTGCTACCGGCAAAATCCCACCGCAGCTCGCAACTCGCATATCGCATCCGTTGCGGCAGGAAATACTTTATAAAAAACAGCCAGTGCGAATTCCCAGTCAAAGTTTGCACTCTATGAATACAGTTATACGTTTTTTACGCGTTAATTATTAATACCTGATTCCGTACGACGTGTGTAATTAACTTCCTGTTGGGCATACCATTTGTTTCCTCCCGCAGGACGAGAAAAATCAATTGCTAGTCACGAATGTGTGGTTGAAGCTGGAGTGGAACGACATGAATCTGCGCTGGAACACCTCCGACTACGGCGGCGTGAAGGATCTGCGAATACCGCCGCACCGGATCTGGAAGCCGGACGTGCTGATGTACAACAGTGCGGATGAGGGATTCGACGGCACCTACCAGACAAACGTGGTGGTTCGCAACAACGGGTCCTGCCTGTACGTGCCGCCGGGGATCTTCAAGTCGACGTGCAAGATCGACATCACGTGGTTCCCCTTCGACGACCAGCGCTGCGAGATGAAGTTCGGCAGCTGGACCTACGACGGATTCCAGGTTTGGTTCAGTCTCCCGTCCAAGCAGGGCAACCAGGAAGTACTTTAACTTACTGAAAAGAACTCGTAGTTGTTATGCTTGACCGATTCAAATTCGAGTGTACTTATAGCTTATGATTTATTTTTGGTTTCACTTTTCTGCATTCATCCGATGCGATTGAGATATTTACATTATTCTACCCCCTCTCCCCGAATATCGTATTAAAAGCTGGATTTACAATTACAAGATGAAACTGGCGGTGATATCAGCAGTTACGTGCTCAACGGCGAGTGGGAACTACTGGGTGAGTAAGCCAACGTCGTCCTGGAGCGACCTCTGAATTCCTCTCTCACTCTCTAAACATACTTCGACACCCAAACTCAGACTCTGAGCGGGCGGTCCCGTCCGTTAACCGTTAACCGTTCTCGTTCTTCGGAAAATACAGAAAAGAAAAGATGATAAAAATGGAGGAATTACTCCGCAATGCTCCTAGTTTAGTGTGTGTGGAGGTGGAAATTTACACTCCCCTTTACAGCGAAGGACAATGATTTCTCGCTTATTTGCTCCTTTGCGGAGTTGTGGCCTTGCGGCCGATTTATAGCATACTTTCGTGGGCCAACCACACGCACAGAGACACACACACACATTAGTATCCTTCAACTATCTCTCTCTATCTCTTACTTACTCTCTTTCACTCTTGAGCAGGGTTCAAGCTGCGAACTAAAGTTCCGAACTCGTTCCGTTCGAAACTACGACTGTGTTGCTCATCGATACGTGATTGAACCCCAGTCCCCGTGTTCAATCATTTAGAGATGAGAAGGTTTACATCACTGCTTTTTAATACTTCTCTATACAATCAAATTAATTCATTCAATTTCGAGGTCAATGAATACGGAATTAAGTAAGGCACTCGATGAACCCTGTTGTTATCCCACCCAATTACTCAACTCAAATACTTTCGTACTCCACCCAAATCACACGCTTATCCAGTGTTCTCCCACTCACTCTACTTTCAAAACAAAAGAAACAACCAAAACTATCGCTAAAATTCTTTGGGCGCTTTAACTTTTAAGTCCGAAATAGCCGCGTAAACATTTCGTTTACTCTCAGTGTAAGAAGTCTGCTTGGGGGAGCATAACTTTAGACTCCGAAGCAGTCTAAATATGCTACTCCAATCGCAGGCCCAATAAGTTTTAAACCTGATCAAGAGGTAAGGCCCGGCCCTCGTATGCATCTACTTTAGATTATTTTTCCCGGAATCTATGAATCCTTTTCTTAATCGCTGATAAAGGCATGTGGATAGCGTATACGATAAGAAACTAACTGAATGCTGAATAGAAAACGCTTACTTATACCTTAAATAAACTGTCTTCGACTACTGAGACAGCCATGAAGATGTATGGAAATATTTTGCATTTTGCCTAACAGTTTAGTTTAAAGAGAGAAGGAAAATATGGATAAACGCGAACGCACTAATTGTACATACTTATTCCTTACATTCTATTTTTTCAAATAAAACTCTTTAGAAATAAAAAAAACAATTTAATTTTTTATTGATTTTACCCCAGATTGATTTACTTATTTAAAATACACTGCAATAAATTAAATATAAATATTTTCATTCATGAAAATTTCAATGTAAGTCCATGTGGGGCTTAACAATTTTCCTGAATTTAAAACACTCTATCCAAAATCTAAAAATAACAAAATGAACTGAAAAAGCGCAGCAAGAAATCAACTAGAGTAAAATAACAAAAGCACAAAAACCGGAAAATCTAAATGAATGAAAGCCCACATACATTCGCAGTCAATGCACAAATGAAAAACCATGACAGCTGAAAATCCAGCCACTCCCTCTTTTTTGTAAGCGGTTCGTAGCCTAGCTGAATAGATAAGTATAGGGAAGGATCTATGCGTTTTACCAGAACCAATTAAGAAATTAAAAGACAGATACTTCTGCATCCTCGCACATGAACATGCACTGTGAATTAGTGCTGGCAAGAGACACAGAAAGTTTTCAACTCAACACTGGCCACAAAAGTGCAAAAGAAAAATGTTTGCAGCAAATTTTAGTTTCATTTGCCAACTCCGTTCTCTTTTATTCCCTGTTTTTGGCTTTTATTTTTCCGTGCGTAATTTTTCGGGAGTTTTCAAAAGTTTTTCGCCGGGTTTTTGTTTTCCTTCCCGCCTTCCTACCATTTCCTATCTGCATTTGCGGCTTTTTTTCTCTACAAGCTTATGCAAATTATTTTGAGTTGGCCAAGTGCTCCCAGACACAAGAGGTAAACTGTTTGTGGGGGGAGTTGGGGAGCTTGGGAATTTTGGGCGGGGCCTCCAAAGTAGCTGGGTCATTTTTAAATACGCTGCCAAGGCATTTTGTTCGCAGTCTCTGTCCCTGGTAATCCCTTTGGTAATCTTGGAGTAAGTTGAGCAGATAATTTAGCTAGAAGTTTTGTTGTCTACCACTCCCCCTCCCCCTTTTTCCACACCCACTTTCTATTTTCCGTTCTTTCTGCATTTCTTTTGGGCATATGGCAAATGCTTTTTGCCAGAAAGTTTTTATTGCAAATATGTTTGCGAACATGTCGGCGAATGGGCGAGGGGAAAAGCAATTAGGAGGCCAGAGTTATCGGGGAAAGGGTTCCATGCTTTTTGAATGGATGTACTTTTGAGTTCGAGGAGAAAGTTTCCTACAGAAAGCAGATTAACAGAAGTTCGAGAAATCTTTCAATCAGCAGGGACAAGCATTTAGCTTAGCTGTGGCTTAAGTTTCCCCGATCACAATGGGCCAATATATATTTGGGGTATCACCTACAAAAGGACACTAGTTAGTCAGGGATCAAAACAAGAGATTCCCAATAAATTACACAATCCTTCGGACTCCTCAGGAACTTTCAATTTACAGCCAATAAACTCTGCTTACACAACTTCACTCTCGACTCTTACTTACTCTGATTTTGTACATGTATATGCATACTTGAATAGCCCGCAAACGATTTCTTATCTCTACATACTTTTCTACTACGTATTTACATTTTGGAAAGCAAAGTGCATAACAACTTTTCCCCCTAGTAAATTGCTCGGCTTTACTCTCCACTCTGCTCTGCTCTTACTTAACTTTACTTACAATTAGTTTGCCTAGACAAATAAAACTCTGCCCGAAACTAAGTTCACACTCAACTAAACCCGGAACCGAAAACTAAGCTACACACACCATATATACCACCCGGCATGCACTCCACCCACCCACTGCACACACACATTTTCCTGCCTTTTTCCTCTGCCACTCTCATATCTGTAAAACATTGAAGAACTGTAAATGGCAATAATGCTTCAATTACACTCACCAGCCACTCTAGTCTTTGATCTGCTCTGCTCTGTTCCGAACACGCTTTACTCTACTATCATACTATACCATACTCCCCACTTTACTCATCTCTTGTAATAAGCTCAGAACAAGATGCTCAGCCCGAGTACTAAGTAAAGACTGCCACAGAAACATATAAACAGATTTATTATATTAAAAGGATACTGTATAATAACGCCCTCTGTACAATTGAACAATCGCAGGTGTGCCTGGCAAGCGTAACGAGATCTATTACAACTGCTGCCCGGAACCCTATATAGATATAACCTTCGCCATCATCATCCGCCGACGGACTCTGTACTATTTCTTCAACCTGATCATACCCTGTGTACTGATTGCCTCCATGGCCCTGCTCGGCTTCACCCTGCCGCCGGATTCGGGTGAAAAATTGTCACTGGGTAAGTAACGGGGATGCCAGAACTAGAAGGGGCTGTAAGTTGTAAGGGGCGAAAGTAAGCCACATTAATTTCAAACCACTTACGCAACGCAAATACTTGAGAGCACCAGTGTGCCAGGAGGGGAAAGCCCCGGCATACATGCAAACAGCTCAAGAGCCGCTCGAAAAGTATTTGCCAAGTACTTTTTAAATAATGACAGCCTAGTCGGCGGCAAAAGCAGCGAATTTCAAATTAGATGCCTCTCATAATCGTGTTGATAAGACAGCTGGCTCACTTTGTAACCGACTGACTGAGTGACTGACTGACTGACATCGCACATTACCCCATTATGGCCGTCGTTACCCACGCCTGCTGATGACGCCACAGTCTCAGACTCAACGATGGTAAACAAACTATTGAACTTTTAATGCTGCCATCGCCGAGTAGTAAAAAGTGTTCAACGAGCCGGGCGTAAGGAATGCTCCTCTCCTCAAAGTGGGCTGTCAATCGACAGGACGGAGCATTAGTGGCTCGGAAAATCAGTTGGGACTCTCGACCAGTTTGGCTGGGATGCTTGAGTACACAGTACTGAAATAGAAATAAATGGCTATTGGCATGTGGGTGTTGAAAAGTGCACGGCTTGGTATTAAAAGCTTGGGGAACAAGGTTGCAGGTTACAAGTTCCATCAGCACTCCCTCAAGGAGTGTGACTGATGTGTGCTGTCGAGAGAAGTCGAGAGCAAATGATTTGGAAAACAATTAACTAGAGAACTGCAATTAAAGAATTGTAAATAAATATTGGTGTCTAAAAGTATGCAGTAAATTAAGGATAGCAGTCTTACTGAATGAATTCATCCTATTACTGAGTTTTCAAAATATTGTCGCATACTTTTAGACACCTTCAGTGGGTTTGTTTAATTAAAATAGTTTATTTTAAGTTTTACTTCACATTGTAACTAATGCAAACCATTTCACTATACCATCGTAAATTATGGAAAATGTAATGCCACAAATTGTAAATTTCGTTTTATAAGATATCCACATATTACTTAGTCGTTCTCCATTTCCATTCGATATCTAGGTGTTACCATCTTGCTCTCGCTGACCGTGTTTCTCAATATGGTTGCCGAGACAATGCCGGCCACCTCCGATGCGGTTCCATTGTTGGGTAAGATCATTTTGTTTACCAATAGTAGTCGATAGTCGATGGTAGAGCTTATCGTAAATGTTAACCTAAATCATGTTATCGCTGTGTCTACTATTTGCTTTTAAGTTCGTTCTCTAATTGCAATCCATTAACTAAACATTTATCCTGTGATACCTTTATATACCCACATATACGTACTCGTTTATAAATATCTCTAAAGTTGCAGTTGCATATTCATTTTATATATCCATGCATTTCTAAAATGATTTTAAAATCCAAAATAAAATCCGATGATTTTATAATATTAAAACTTTGACACACAATTAAAAAACCAAAAGATTTTGAAGCACAGCCGCCGAAATAAAGATATTTTTGTTTCGACATCAAAGTCAATGATATTTGGCTTTGAAGTCTAAACGGAAAATACGTGCTGATGCAACAAAAATAAATATTTCCAAAACAACGTAGCGAAAGAAAACTCATTAATCATAACTAGAGGGGCATATAAATGTGACTAAAAACCCTTAAAAACTTTGCCAAAAAACGAATTAATAACATAATAAACCATTATATTATATGAACCTAAAAGACAAAAAGCTGATCAAAACCTATATATAAATTTTAAACACGAGTTGGTTTGAAAAATGCACACATATTTGACAACGAGTTTCTTGCACGTTATAAATATATTTCTTTTAGTTCCGGTTGTCAAGACATCAGAATTAGAAATACAGTTGGGTTGTTCCTAGTTAGGAATCAGTTAATCCATAAAAAATACCTATTTGTTTAAATGAGTTTAAAATAAATTATTTTAGATAGGAAGAAAAAGGAACAGCTCCGCTGTACAAGCAAAATCCAACAAAGAAACCGAACAACCGAACTAAATTTCTTTTGATACTTTTCATAATTTTGTTTTTCAAAATTATACAATCTTCGAATTCGAATATTTTTCCTTCAAAAAGTGCTTACAAAATTAAAAATTCCAATTATCTCGTTGAATTTATCTCATTCCGTTCTTGCCGTACACTTTTTGGTGTCTAACTTCTATATTTACCTAACCTATGTCTAAAGTATAAGTACAAGCTAAAGTTAACCTCGTGTGTGTGTGAATTAAAAGCAGAAACTAAATCTATATGTATTTCTCTCGAAAAAAAACATTTGCCATGCCTTTAAAAACTGAACAACTAAGAAGCTAACAAACAGAATATTTTTTGCATTTAATGTACTAACTAAAATATTTTGTACATATTTCTTGCCTTTTTCTTTCTTTCAAACAAACTATGTACCTTCCGCAAAAACTATATGTGCCCACAAAATGCATATAAAACTAAATGAAACCAAACACCATGAATAAAATCGAACTTTGAAATATGCGTTACCCCGAAAACGAACTAACACAACAACAACTTCCAATCCAACATTATAATAACAATACCAATAAAACTAACCAATACCAATAATCCGTGCACCACTACAACAATTACAATATATTCCCACACTAAACATAATAAATATATATAATATTTATATATTTATATTGACAACACGCCCAACCAACCAACAGGTACATATTTCAATTGCATAATGTTTATGGTAGCTTCATCCGTTGTGTCAACGATTTTAATATTAAATTATCATCATCGAAATGCTGATACGCACGAAATGTCCGAATGGGTAAGTTGCAAATAGGTCAACCCACCAAACAGCCATCCCAAACCACAAAGCAACCAAAAAAACTCTCTCCAACCAACCAACCAACCAACAACAAAATATCAAAATAAGAAACAACTGCAAACGCGACCATCACTCATCATTTATAGCTTCAGCTAGTTTTCAGTGGCCGCAGAACGGCAGCTTCAGAGGAGCCTCCCATATCCTCTCCATATATCCTTTTTCCCGAAAACGTGGGGGCTTGAATACCCCAGAGCCAGTCCTCTGTTGCTGTTGAATTTGAGGCCACTGTCGCATAGAATTAGCATTTTCTATATGATTTATCTCTGCCAAAGGAGAAAAATTGCAAAATTCTATGCGAGAGCCATGCAAAGATAACACTATGCAGCATCAAAAATTAACCTCGATGAATGCTATATGTTCGGATTCGTTACGAATTCCCAAGTTAAACTGCGTTTTCCAAAGAGTTCCCCGACGCAAGGATTCTTAGCAAAAGGACCTCAAAGTTCAAAAAATGCTGAAATTGACCAACTTTGCGGAGCTCTCAGAGGCAAATGGATGCATGGCTTGGTTCGAAGTTAAAGTTTTTTAAAAGATACACCCTTTATCTTTCAAACCCCATACATAAAATAATTTTAGGATTTTTTTTAAGGCAGAAATAAATTTTAAAAAACATAGTCAAAAAACTGAAAAACATACATCTGCGGTCTAAATAGTAGCAGTGTCGCCGCCTTGTGTTTTTAAAAGTTTGATGTTGTAATTTTTTCTTATCCAATTAGTCTAATAGTAAAATTATAATCAATACAATATTACCAGGAAAATATCAATTACAACAACAAACTTTTAAATACACAGGGCGGCAACACTACTACCATTTTGACCGCAGCTGTATACTTTTATGTTTTTTGACTATGTTTTCTAGAATTTGTTTCTGCCTTAAAAAAAATCTTAAAAATTTTTTAAGTATGGGGTTTAAAAGATAAAGGGTGTATCTTTTAAAAAACTTTAACATCGAATCAAACCATGCATCCATTTGCCTCTGAGAGCTCCGCAAAGTTGGCCAATTTCAGCATTTTTCGAACTTTGAGGTCCTTTTGCTAAGAATCCTTGCGTCGGGGAACTTTTTGGAAAACGCAGTTTAACTTGGGAATTCGTAACGAATCCAAAAATATAGCATCCATTGAGGTAAATTTAAAAAGCACTAAAAATGCTGCCCAGTGTAATTTATGTGTTAGCTAGCGAAATGTTTTTGTGTTAGCTATTTTCACATTGTTTAGTTACTCGTTGTAATTTGTGTTGTATTTTGTTATTGTAAAAACGAAACCTAAAAACAATAAACATAAACCAATAAAGCACAAACGTTTTTTTCGTGTCCTTATGTCCGTTTTTTTGACCGAGTTTAAAATGAGCCTATAAACTTGGTCAGATGTTTAAATAAAACAAAATTCTCATTTAATTATTCAAAATAAATAACTACTTTATAAGTAGCATTTGTCTTCCTATGTCTTAAATTGGAAACATAGAATTAAGGAAACAAATTTTTCAAAGCTTAATACCACAAAAGTAGAAGCAGAATCACTCATTAAAGTACATTTACGTACATTAATAGAAATTTCATCAAAATATTTCTCTAAACGGAAAACTTTTACTCATAGTGCGGTTGATAGCCACTTGAAATTTATTTTTCCATTCATAAATATATACAGCTCATTGGCTTGCTGGTAGCTCAAATAAACCACAATCATTTCAAACCAAAAAAAAAGAAAAACATTTTCATGTGTCCAACTCATGGCTCCCTTGAAAATATAAAAACATTTAAATTACTAAAAATACCTAAAAACGTATTTGCAAATAGTTGCACAAATAAATGTTGTTCAATATGCCCTTAATTGTTATTATTGTTGATGTTGTCGTGCATTTCTGTTTCATACACACAAAAACAGCCTTTTTTCGTTGTTCGGTTTTTCAATCGGTTCCTTGTTAGTTTTTTGATGCCTACTTAGAGGCTGTTATGCAAGCTTCCCCGTTTTTTTTCGGTTTGCCCCATTTGATTTTGTTAGTATGCATAACTGTATCTGCAATTTAGCTGAGAACCAAAGCCAAGTCGAAACCCGAAAGAAATGTCAGTTGAGTTGAGGTTTAGGAATGACCCCCGCGTGACCCCTGTGTGTGTGACCCAAAAGAGTAAATCAAAAGAAAGAGAAGCAGAGGAAGCCAGAAGCAGCGCGAAAGTGAGGGAATGCCGAGCCGAAATGAAATGACGGACGGATGTACAGAGTACGAAATGAATGTTGTAACCATCCAACATGTCTAGCTACTATACGTGTCTACTATAAAATAATTTATGTAATGAAAAATATCGTAATGTTGATGTTGGGCCCATAATTTGTACTTACGTGTATGCCAGCCACATCCTCGATCCCAGCAACTAACCCAACTAACCCAACACCCCGTCCCCTTCCCATTCCCAATCCCTTTTTGCTCGTAACTTTGTCACCAGTTGCACACACGCTTTTGTATTTGCATCATTATACTCCTCGTACCAAACTGAATGGGTTTAACAAATAAAAAAATATGGAAAAAAAACCAAATGAACCAAAGCAGATGGCAACGTCACAACTTGCCGTCCAATTATGCATTATGTAATACGATGTGCTGGTGTACGAAGTTCTGTAAATGGTATCTCTAGCCTCTATTTGCCTCCCAAATATCTTTTTTCCTTTAAGTACACATTTAATCCATGTATAACTCTGTACATAGTCTCTATTTGTGTGGTGTAATGTGTGATTGAGTGCGAAATATATATGTTTTATAAAGCCTTTGGCGTAATTATAATTTAATTGGGAATTATAGGGGTGCTGCTCTTTAATAAAAATATTTAAAAGAAAATTGTAACATAGTAAACTAGTAACTTATATTTAATAATAGGTACATTTATTTGGTTTACTAGGAAAATATTTTAGAAATAGTAAGAGTCACCAGCAATTTTATTTTTTTATTAAATCAATAGTTATATCAACAGTTTTCGTTTTCCACTTACCTCATGAAATAGCGACAAATTTCTTTATTTTCCCTTTAGCTTCCCGTGCTGATATCAATAGGGGAAAATATCAGACATTTCATGACAATATTTTCACAAGACAGCCAAGTGGAAAGCAATTTCTGCACATTATTGCAATGGCCTCCAAGTGCATAATGAAAAGTTTCGCTAGACAGGCAGCCGGAAAAGTAGGAAAAAATCAAGAATAAGGGCAGCTGAGGAGAAGTCGATTGGCTTTTAAGGAGTCACTCACATGACAAGTTTTATATGGTTTCGCGCAAGAATGTGGCGGGATCTCCGCCCCTCGACACACAATTGAATTTGGAACACAGGAGGGGGAAAACCAAAGCCAGGATTCGAATACGAGTACGAGTACAAAGTAAGAAGGTAAAGGGGTAGTTTTGGGGGCCTGACAGTTGGCCCAGTTGTGAGTTGTCCCGACACGGCACCGAAAATTGAGCCAATTGGCGGGGGCAGGGCAGGTGCATTAGAAATGTGCAAGAGTCCTTCCGCGAGTCCTTACTGTCCTTGCTGCCGACTGTCGCCTGCCACTTGAATTGGCCCCAAAGACTTTACCCCTCTTGGCCCGCGCTTTTGTGTGATAACAACAAATCAATTTGCGCAAAATTTGCACAAAAGATGGGGGCAAGTGTGGGTGGTGGGTGGTGGGTGGTAGGTGGGCCACATTGATATGGATATGGCGAATGCCAGTTGCTCCATGGCAATGGTTAACTTTGCATTTAGTTTGCATGCCACGTCCTGAAGCGCATTTCCATGTAAGCTCCTCGCTTGTTGGCCAAAAAAAAAACAGAGAGGAGAACAGAAAAGAGGAGGAAAAACCGCCAGCGAGGAGGAGCCGACATGATGGAGGAGGCAGCGCAAGCCTGGCCAAAAGGACGAAGGACGCAGGACAACGACAGTTTCAGACAAACTGCAAGCGAGCTTGTCAGCTAGGAGCGTCGGTTTTTCAGCTCCTCAACTGCATTACGGTTTGAGGATTGCGGAAAAAGCGGGGATATCGGGGACAGCGGAGTGAAGGACTCCAAACACCGATGCCCGGGGATAAGCTGCAGCCAGGGAGCGAAACATGTCCTGACTATCCTATCGATTTGCGTTTTGCAACAACCCCGCGCTTTTTTGTGGCCGTTTTGGAATTCTCTTCAGTAGAAGTAAGAGCACTCGTGCAGTTAACCAGTTTAGCCGTTCTCCAGGATAGCCAGGATAACTAGGATAACCAGTTAACCAGATGACAATCATTGATGAATGCGTTTATAAAAGGACAACTGAGATACGAAACTATTCTTTGTTTTCGGAATTATTGATTTCAAAACGAAAGGCAGGATCAGAATTTTGATATATTTAGAAATTAGTATCACCAATAGTTTCTACAATTTTAACAAATAATTAAAAATATTTCAAGTCTGAATAGAGATTTGAATGAATTTTAAAATAAAGTTGTAGGACTATTTATGGGATGATATGGTGATTTCCGCAGGATAAAGTCACTTGTTGTTTTGGGCGAATTGTTCACAGCTTAGCAGCTTAGCTTTGGGCTAACTACCATAGTCTCAGATGTTTGTTGTTGTTGCTGTCGTTATAACTAGTGTTGTGTCTGTGTGTTTGTGCCTCGTGCTCTATACGTGTCTATCTGTATCTGTAAATGTATCTGTGTTTCTGTGTTGTAGATCATAAATTTTGCATGCACCGTAGCTATAAATAAGCAGAGACCATGGCGAAAAGCGAACACACACACATAAATATTATTATAAGTGTAATAACAAATCACCCAGCGAACACTGACAAACACCAAAACACCCACATGTTGCTCTCTCTTGCAAAAGGACTCGAAAACAGTGTTGCTTTAGTTGTAATCAAAATCAAATATAAATCATACTTGTGGTCATCTGTCTGGGTGTGAGTGGAGTGGAGCGGACTGTTCCCCCTTTCATGCAAAATAGCCATAAATCGTGGAAAGCCCGCTTGAGTTTTCCACACATTTTCCCAGAGAGACACACTTTCACACACACCCAGAGAGACACACACAGAGCAGTCATCATCCACAAACACGAACTTTTAGCACACGCAATTGGAGCATAAATACATCAAATTTGATTTTTGATCGGATTATCCGGGGGCCCGTCCCACTAAACATTTCCATTTCGCCACCTGCCGCTTAGATACGCATCGTGTTTCTGTGCTGGCTGCCATGGATACTGAGAATGAGTCGACCGGGCCGACCGCTGATCCTGGAGTTCCCGACCACGCCCTGTTCGGACACCTCCTCCGAGCGGAAGCACCAGATACTCTCCGACGTCGAGCTGAAAGAGCGGTATTTAGCATTCGATTTATGTGCTGACTTAAAAAGATTAATTGTTAAATGAACACTTAAAAGAAGATCAAGTTGATTTCAATTTAAATATTTTATGAAAATATCGATATTTTAATTAAAACTAAAACTTAAATAGATTTTTAATATGATAATTTATATATCAGATTGAAACACCATGCAATAAAATGTCCAATGAAAATCATTCATCATTCAAAAGGTTATCAACAAAATATCGATTTTTCTGCCGGTTCGATTTTCTGTGTGCTGATTAAGAACTATATGAAAATATCGATATTTTGATTTAAATTTAAATGATAATGCATAAATTAGATTGAACTAGAATGTAAATACCATATAATCTAAAAGTACCAATAGTTTAAAATTTACTTTTTTAATGAGTTTTAATCAAAATATCGATTGCCATTCGATTTTCTATGTGCTGTCGACGTTTCTGCTCTCGCTTTCTTCGAGTGTCAAGTGAAAGCAGGAACAGCAGCAACCGTGCTCAAATTGTATTTGATACTTCTACTGAGGGTACTAAAGCTGATTCTATTCCCCCGCAATGAAGCTCCTCGAAATCACTGCTGGCCAACGTACTAGACATCGATGATGACTTCCGGCACAATTGTCGCCCCATGACGCCCGGCGGAACACTGCCACACAATCCGGCTTTCTATCGCACGGTTTATGGGTAACGAGTCACTTTGGGATTGGGTCAACTGAATCTAGCCACTCACGTGCCCCACAAATTTCTCTCTCGTTTTCGGCCTCCATAAACCAACTATAAACGACAAACAGACAAGGCGACGATGGCAGCATTGGGCCAATTGGCAGCACCCGAATGCCGGATGCGGTCACCCATCATACGTGCATCAAATCATCAACAGAATATGAACTAGGTTTAATCTTAAAGGAAATTCGCTTTATAACTGATCAGGTAAGTCGAGGTTACGGTCGAGTTAAGTGCTGCGAAGATCACATGCTCAACTTGTACTAACCATAACCACTAATTTTAAATATTAAAATTGCGTTCCACTTACGAAAACTGTGCATGTCAAAACCTAGTTATAGCAGTCGAAATATTTAGCCATTGACTATGTTTAACTCTTCTTCTCTCCAACTTAACCCACTTTTTCTCCTTTGAACACTGATAACCTATGAAAAACCATCAAACAGCTACGTAAAGATGACGAGTGCAATGACATTGCCAATGATTGGAAATTTGCAGCTATGGTCGTTGACAGACTGTGCCTTATCATATTCACAATGTTCACAATATTAGCCACAATAGCTGTACTACTATCAGCACCACATATTATTGTCTCGTAGCCATATGGGCGAGGTGGTTATTGTTATTGGTTTTATTATAAAATCAATTTGTTAATTATTAAATTAATAACGAAACTTTTTAAGTAAATTAAACTAAAAAAACGATTTAAAAAAAGCACAAAAAAATAGGAAAACACATGATAAAAAACCATTGACTAAATAATACATCCAAAAAAAAAACCTAAAAAAAACTTAAAATTCGTCTCTGAAAACACAATAATTTATTTATAAAAATCTCGTTTAACAAGTCTTTCATTAAAATCAAACAGACACTAAAAAAAGAGACTAAACCAACATCATATACTAAAACGTTAAAAACTAACTAATTCCAATTTTCCTAATTCTATACAAAAAATCTATATAATGGTAAACCAAAGATATCCCCTCACTTCCCCGCAGCCCCCACAAGCCAGTATCTATATTTCTTCCATTGAATATATATATACATATATGTTTGACAAGCAAGCAAAACGGGTATATTTTCTTTTTAGATTTTATATTTTGTATTTTATAGAATAAGCGAGGCGTTTTCATACAAATAATCACATGGATTTTCGAAATTTTTTTTTTGACAGACTTCAAGGGAAATGTCAGTATTTCAAGCGAAACAATAGCCCCCCAAAACCCCTTTGGAAGACTTCGATTTGTGAGCTTTACTGTAGGAAATGTAGATGATGATATGATGTGAAAACCCAACGTTCTAAGATCTACAGAAGGACAACAGCAAAATTTGTAATCTTCTTCAGCACTGAAGTCAGTCCAGGGATTTGTTCCGAGCAACTTTTTGCTAACCATTAGTACCTAGGCCCCTTAAGAGATTCCGCCACCCTTCCCTCTCTAGACGAAACTGCATTTCCGAAACAGAACCAATTGACCCTACATATCCTATATCTAGCTCCCCCTCCCTATTATACCTTTTAAGTTGAATGTCTAACCAAATGATAAAACCAAACCCCTAAAACTAAAAAACCAAACCCCTTAAAGCTTACCAAAACCAATAGAATAACCAATCTGAATTGGAATTAAGAAAATTCAATGGAATATAACGAAAAAGAAAATGGAAAAATCAAAATGAAGCAAGCGAATATAAGAGTAATTGACTAGAGGCGCAGCAGGTAAATGATGAGCCCATATGCGTTCGGTAAATGAAATGCATCCGTAGGACTGCATTTCATTCTGACTGGCGCCGCACGAGGAAATGAATTTATGAAATTAAATGGTTGCGAGCAATAATATCTGCGTGTTGATGAATTGCATGATTTTTGGTGATGCAAACGATGATCGATCGAACTATTGCGCGAGGTCCACAGCGGAGGGCAAGAGTTCGCTCCTTCAGCGCATTGAGAACAGCGAACAGTCTAACTTTCGGTACTTTGATTTTGATTTTACTTCTTACACATTTTCCTTATATTTTATTTATTTTTTTTATCAAATACTAAAAGTTGTACCACACCAAAAAGCAATTCAGCACAGAAAACAATTAATTGGATGAGAGGCAAGCCAAGCAGTACAGATATACCAAGATATACCAATAACAATGAACATCACAAGACCCTAGAACACGTAACATGCGGGTGCATGGGTACAAAATTATGTGCTGGCTCTAGTTTAGAGCGCACAAAACATACTTGATCGCAGACCACAACAACCAAAACATATAAACCAAGGAGCTTTATACAGATATATACTATATATGATGGAGTTTAGCGTGCGTCAATCTGACCCAACTTTTCATATATTTGTACCATACACAAGACACACAACACACACACACTCGGTTGTTCGATGGCCGATGGTTAATCCCCATAACTACGAATATAATCTTAAAGTATGTTTCTGTCCGTTTACTAGCCGAGCACATAATTTAAAAACAAAGGAATACAAGAAACGAAATCTTAAAAATTTACACGGTCGCTGGGTTCGATTGGGAAGTGCGAAGGAGCAGCTTGGATATCCCTTGAGAGGGTATTTCCAGCGCTTTTCCTGCGCATTTCCCAACATCGAGACCCCATGACCAGGAATAGAGAAAAAAGCAAAACTGCGTTGGTCGAAATTTCACACTGAAAGAAAACGTTCGAAATGGAATAGCTTTTTAATTTTTAAGTTACAGTTATTCTGCTTCTAATTGTAAATCTTGTGCAATGTAAACAATCAGAATTTTCTTTGAATATAAACAATACGAACACGCCAAAACAAAAACAAAAGCAAATTAAAACGTATAGGTCACAGTAAATGCAAAAAAAGAAAAAAGAAATTCAAAAGTAAATAATGGAAATATGATTAGCAACTAAACGATGTCATTCAAACTAGACTAGGCTACACAGAACCCAAAACCCGTAAACCGTAAATTGTTAAGATTCTATCCAAAGAGCTAAACAAATGCAAGTCAAGAAATATACTAGAAATAGATTTACATACAACAATAAATATAATTCGGGTAACGAACAGATCGAAGAAATAGAGGAAAAAATAGGAATATTGAGAAATGGGTTTTATGCGATTTGGTTAAAGGACAGTTTCGAACATCAATTTATATACGGATTTTGTATGCCAAACTATACAATCTTTCTGACTTGCCCTTTTTTTGGTTGTCTTATTTTTGAAACGATTCAGAAACACTTATAAATAAGGTTAGCTTTTGATAAAGAATTCGAAGTGTAAAATAATATGATGATGTGTTATATTTTGATGAAAGGTGAAATTCTTTATATATTTTTTGTTTTATGCCCACGAGAATAGCTTGAAATCGGAGAACGTGTAAATTTGTGGGGACTTTTCTTAATGTTTTTGATAAACATGTACTTGATTTTGTATGCTTTTCCAATGCGAGTGTCAGTGAGAACAAATAACGATAGATTTCAATCCTAACGCTTAAGAGTATTAAAGAAATAATAATAGAGAACATAGCAAACAAGCTGCCAGCATGAAAAATAAAAACAATAACTAATTTTAAATCTTTTATACGTTTCCATCAATTGTGCTTGTTTAGACACAAAACACAAACGAAGCAAACCATAAGACCCAACTGAAATATCTGATGGCCGATTTCAAATAGCAATCAATAACTGGATTATGTTCAACATGCAATTAGCCGACGTTGAACGGGAGTTTTCATATAAGCAATTTTTAAAGAAGGTGTCACCCCAGTAAATAAATGAATACATAGGAAATAGCGGGGCTCCCCGGGCTGAATTAATCGGCAACATTAGTCGAGGCCATGCAATGGAGCAGGACGATTGATTGAAGATTAAAACTAATAAAGTTCTAGTGCATAAAACATAAGAGGACAGTTTGGAAAATAGTTCTTTCATCAAGTCAACCATTAAATACACAGTTTATGCATATGTGTGTATATTTACATGGATACGTATATACTTCTTTTTACACAGACAAACAAGTATATATATAAATATATAGTATACTATGTAATAAATTATAATGAAAATATTTGAAGCAAATGATGAAACTTTTTCCTACAACTAGTTGCATTTAAAAGAATTTTAAAAAATATACATAAAAAGTATATATTTCTTAAAAAACGTAAAAAAAACAAAAACCAAACTCCTTTCTCTATTAAAAATAAAATGAAAAACACACAAAACTTTAAATTAATATTTAATTAGTCATTTAAAAAGGGTTAAATAAAAACCAAATCAAGCGGGATGAAATCGTAACCTAGTAAATATTTAAATTAAATTAATTTTAAAAAAGTGAAAAAGAAACAAAGAACACAGAAAACAAAAGAGAAGCGCTGATTTTTTATGTCGTTATTAGTATTTAAATTTAAATAATTGCGTATAAAGAAACATACAGAATTAACTAAAAAACACAAAATATATGACATAAAAAATTAGAAGAAAATTTAAATTGGTCATTTTGGCCTAAATAGTAAATTATAGAAGAAAGAATAAAATAAAAGTTGAAAGGAAACAATGAAAAAAAAGAACAAGAAACCCGAGTAAAGCGATTGTAAAATTTTAATTATTATTCAATAATAAAAATTCAAAAAGAAAAGATTTGACAGAAATACCAAACACAAATTAGGTTTTATTCTCAACAAAATTTAAGGACGAAGGACTTGGAAGAAGACCCTAAGGACGAAGATGATCCTGCTACCCGCTTTGGAAAGGTAAATTGTGTTTTGCTCTAGAAACTGCTGCGAACTAGGCTTAAGATACCAACACAGACACTCTCTCAAATATCTAATAAATGTGTAAATATATTGTATCAATGTTCATAAAAACCAAACTCATAATGTCATATACTCATTGCAAAACAACACTTAATTCACTGTAAGCATCAATACTTAGATTACGTAGTAAATACGCTGTAACGAATAGACAGGCAAACATCGTTAACTGGAAAAACATTTATATTCAAAGTGGTAAAATTTCACAACTGATCCTTCAAGGGTAAAAATTTTGGCAAATTTTACTAAAGGAAAATTCTGATCCCCGCGCAGTTTGTCAACAACCAGCTGAGATCCAAATTAAAATCCCGTTCCTTCTTTACGATATTCCCATAATAGAAAAAACCATATAATCAATAAATATATACAGCTAGCCAGACAACTGATTTGAGTTTAAACCAGCTGAAGGATTGCTGCGTGTATGTATGACCAGTTATTTTCATTTTTCCTCTGTGGAAAGTTACAATTGTGAGAAAATGTCCTCTATTTATCCCAGAATTTTGGCATGACCTCTTTACAACCTTCTTCTATTTATTTCCAATGTCCAATCAATAAACCTTATTTTCCAAAAATCGAATCAAAAATAGATTGAGTATTCAGTCACATCTACTCCTACTTATGCACTCCTTTGTATACATTTGCTTATGCATGGAATGATCATAAATCACTGTAATTTCCTTGACTAAAATACATATATATTTTTATCTGACCCTTTTCACGATTGCTGACATTCTTCGGAGTGATTCGAGGTGAGTAATTGCAATTAATTCTTAATTGAACCGATCATTAATAGTTTCTTTATAAAATAGGAACCAAATCCGCTCCAGTCAAGTGAAACCATCAAGGATCATCATATATTTCAGAAACTTTTATAAAGAACTTTGTTGTACAACCTAAATTTTGTATTATTATCATT